TGTTGGGATTAGGCCCAACGCCCTCTTAGGGCCACATGCAGCAGGCCCAACTATGCACCCATAGGCCCAAGAGGAGGAGACATACCCACGTGGGCAGCACCACGTGGGCCAATGAGAGGCTTACATGTGCAGATACATGTCAGCACTTGGGGCTATAAATACCCCCCAACCACCTCCGAAGAAGGTAATTAATCTCTACGCTTCTCTCTCTGCAATTACTCTTTGAGAGCATCTCTCTCTAGAATATTGAGTATTGTTGACTTGAGCGTTGGAGTGTTTTCCCGAGGAAACATCCTCGGGATTTTCAGGTGTAGAAGCAGCTAAGGACTTCAACAGTGTTGGATTGCGAAGCTGCCGAAACAACTTGGAACCCAGAAATCTTTCCCCTTGCTGGAAATCCGGATCTGCTCTGTCCTTCCTCTCTTGTCCGCCGGCTGCTCCTGCTTTATGGGGGCGAATTGCTTTGAATTTTCGGTAAGAACAGCCCCTAATTTCCTTTGTTCTTGCTTGAATTGGCTTGGGTTAACTTTGATTGCTCTTATTTCCTTCAATTTTGGGTAGATCCGTGAGTTTCTCCCTTGCACTGCCGCCGGCTTCTTCCCCATGCTAGGTCCGGTTTCTACAGCTGGAGAATTGTGGTATGTGGCAGCTTCTCTAAGTGCAAGTTTAGCCATTTAATTGCTGCCCTTTGTGTCCGAAATTCTGGATTAATTAGGGGAGAAATTTGATAGTAATTAGACCATGATTTAGCTTGATTCAAGTGAATTTATGTGATTGAGTGTTAATGGACTGCTATGTGATTTTTGGAGGAAAATCCCGTGAGATTAGTTAGTGTTTTGGCCAATTTGTAGGAGTGGAGTTACTGTTCACGTCGGGGTCACTGTTCACTGGCACTGTTCACAGGTTACTGTTCACACCCCGAAGGCCAACTATTAACGGGGATTTAAGTGATTAGTTTGTGATATAAGAACGAATTTGGAGATATTTGATCATGTGGAGATTGATAGGAATAGCATCGGGATTAAGAGTGATCCTAATGATGATTTCAGTTTGAATTTGTGGTGATACAATAATTAATTGTGGATATTTTGATTAGGTTCTTGATCGTTCTGTCAGTTAGTATGTGAATTGAGTGCTCGGTTTTGCAAGTGAGGTAAGTAAATTTATAATAATGCCCGTACTATTTTAAAAGCATGTTTTGATTTGTTTTTGAAGTGGTGGCGGGACTAAACCCGTTTTACACGAGCATGACTGATTTGAAGTGAAATGTCTTATGCTTTTCATTAAATTGAGCATGCCTACTTGAAATTTAATGATTGTCCTGATGATCTGAAAGTGATTGGTAAATTATGTTTTTCCGTTAACTTTAGCTTGTTTTGTCTCCGATGTGGTTATGTTCTTGTAACCCTGCTAGTGGGGGTTAAACGCTAGCACATGTCGGCACATGTCAATATGTTCTTGATAGAACCGGTTCATTCCTGTAATCCTGCTAGTGGGAGTTAAACACTAGCAATTCCTGTTGCCTGCCAATGGGAGGTTTAAACACTGGCCATGACCTATAGAGGAGACGTCTATTTCGTTCCCGCACTGTATCCGTTTTTCGTGATTGTACTTGTTGGCATGCTACAAGTTTAATTAAGGGCACTCCATATTTTACTTACTGAGTTTATCTCATAGTTTTCCTTGTCCACCATTTCAGGAAGTGAAATCGAGGACGGGAAAACCACGAGAAGTGACGAGTTAGAAAGCTAGCCATTTCGAGATTGATATAGATTTTTTAGAAATAAATCATGATCTTGTAAGCTAGAGTGTATTTGGAGATTTATGATCGGAGAAATCTTATAATTTGATCTTCAGATTTTGATGGTATCAGATTGTGGTGTGATAAGTTCTAAGCCTTGTGCATTTGTGAGACCCGTCTCACGAGTGCACGGCGTCTGTCGCGTCTTGAAATTGGGTTTTGGGGCGTGACAGTAATATCCCAAAATTTTGTGATATTTTAGCACTTAGTTAAGGACCTTTGTGTGAGAAAAAAATATTGTTTTGGGGTTTAATAATTGAAATCTCAAAGTTTAGGGGCTTAAAAGAGAAAAGATTTGGATAGGGACCGGGTATTTGTTTTTCTTCTTTCTTTCTTCCTCAGCCCGTGTGCTTCTGCTCTTCTTCTTCTCCCCTGCAGCCGGCAACGCCCCCAAGCCCGACAGCACCACTCTTGGGAAAAAACCGGTAAAAGCTTGGGGATTTCTCCTTCTTTTCTTGTTCTAGAACACATATAGAACCCAGAAACCTCACCCCTGCAGGAAATCCCGGATCTGCTCTGCTCCTTCCTCCAGTCCATCTGTTGCTCCTGCTTTGTGGGGGCGAATTGCTCTGGTTTTTGGTAAGAAGCAGCCCGAAATTCCTCTTTTCTCACTTGATTCGGCTTGGGTTCACTCTAAGCTCTTTTAATTTCCTTCAATTTTGGGTTAATTCCGTGAGTCCCCTGCAGATTTTTCTCCTTCATTCCCGCCGGCTCCTCCCCAAACTGCAGCTCCGGTTTTGCTTGCTGGATTTATGGTATGTGATAGCCCCCTTTGAGCCTAAAATCATCCATTAGTTGTTGAATTATCCATGTAGTGACTGCCCCTATGATGTCCGAAATTCTGTTGAAAAATGAGGATGAACTTTGACAGTAATGAGACAATGATTTAGCTTAATTCATGTAGAAAATTAGTTAATTTGTTGCTGTGAGATTTTGGAGAAAAATCATGTGAATTAGCCATTGTTTTGCCAATTTATGGAAGTGCAGTTACTGTTTATGGCGTGATTACTGTTTACGAATACTGTTTACGGATACTGTTCACGCACTAATGACCAACAATTAACGGGGATTTAAATGTTTAATTTGTGATATAAAAACAAATTTGAAAATGTCCGGTAATGTGGTAAGAAAGTTATTTTTATACCACCTTACTTCCGTATGGTAAAATAAATGAATTAAAATTATACTTGAAAATGCTTTAGTCTAACCTTTGGTTAAGCTAATGAGTCCACTAAAACAATAATTATTAATTTGAAATAAAAAGAGTATTATACTTTGAGATAAATTTAAAGTAAAAAAAAAAAAAATAATTATTTTAAAATAAAAAGAGTACT